ATCCAAACCCCTTGATTGATTGTGCCTTTTAAGTATCTCAATACCCTTTTCATTGCTTGCCAATGTGTTGTAGTTGGTTCTTGCAGAAATTGACTGAGTTTGTTGACAACAAAGGTTATGTCTGGCATGGTGTGTGATAGATATTGTAGGCCTCCAACAACACTTCTGTAGTCTGAAGGAGTTTTTAGGGGTTTACCTTCAGTTTTGGACAGTGTTCTTCCCATTGCACTGGGAGTAGGACTTGGTTTGAGATTTTGGAAGTCAAACTTTCTGAGTAGGTCTGATATATATCGTGATTAAGTCAGGTGAAGTCCTATACTATACCTGTGAACTTCTATACCTAAAAAGTGATGGAGTTCACCCATGTCCTTGAGTGAAAATTTCCTGTGAAGTTCATTGATGAAGTTCTGCAGCAGCTCATTGTCATTACCAATAACTATTATGTCATCTATGTAAATGAGGATGAAGATGATGTTCCTTTCAGTTTTGAAATAGAAGAGGGAGGTGTCTGCCCTTGATTGATTGAACTTCCATTCAATTAGAGTATTCTTCAACTTGTCATACCAAGCCTTTGGTGCTTGCTTAAGTCCATATAGAGCCCTTTCAAGTTTACATATGTGATTTGGCTTTGTTTTATCAATGAAGTACTTTGGTTGATTCATGTAAACTGTCTCTGCCAATTCCCCATTAAGAAATGCATTGTTGATATCCACTTGCCTTATTTTCCAACCCTTTGAGATTGCAAGAGTAAGAATGATCTTTAATGTAGATGTCTTTAGAACTGGGCAAAATGTTTCATAAAAGTCTATTCCTGGGGTTTGATGGAAACCCTTTGCTACCAATCTTGCCTTGAATCTTTGGAGGGATCCATCAGAGTTCTATTTCAGTTTAAAAACCCATGTGTTACCTACTATGTTGTAGGATAGAGATGGGACTAATCTCCATGTTTTGTTTCTGGTCAGTGCAGTGTATTCTTCAACCATTGCATTCTTCCAATTTTCATTTTTACAGGCCTCTGCAGCATCTTTGGGCTCTATTTCATTCAGCTTATATTCTATTGCCTGGCCAGAGAAAACCTTAGGTTCAAAGATACCAGCTTATCATGGAATGTCCAATTTTCTGCCTTTCATCATTATTCACTGGTGAGCTCTGAATTTCACTGATATCCTGATCTCGTCTCAACATTTTCATTGCCAAGAGATTCATCACTTTGCTCAATTTCAATTTGGGTGTTGGAATTATCATTTCCAGTTGCTATGTTAAACTCATCAGGAGGTAACTCTACGGGCGGAGCATCATAAGAAGTTGTATCAGCTGAGTTGTTTTCAATGATGGAATTGGAATATTGAAAAGGCAAGTAAAAGTAAGATACCACGGTTTGTTGTTCAGCTGCCTTAGATTTATTATTTGTGAGGAAGATTGACTCGAATGGGAATTCAGATTTATTCAATACAACATGTCTGGATATGTATGTTTTGCCAGTAGGACTGAGGCACTTGTAACCTTTGTGAGATGAACTGTAGCCTAAGAAGACACACTTAACAAAGTGGAAGCTGAATTTATGGCTTTGGTAAGGTCTTAGGCATGGAAAGCATGAGCAACCAAAGGTCTTGAGGGATGTATAGCCAACCTTTTTGTTATACAGAACTTAGTAAGGGGATTTCATTTGGAGCACATGTGTGGACATTCTGTTAATGAGATAGGTTGTAGTTTGGAAGGCTTCCTACCAGTATCTTAGTGGCATTTTGGCTTGAGCTAGTAGGGTCAGGCCAGTTTTTGCAATATGTCTGTGTTTTCTTTCAACTCTTCCGTTTGTGCTGATGTCTAAGGGCAAAAATGTCTAAATTCAATTCCTAATTGTGCGAGGAGGTTAGCAAAGTTCCTGTATTCTCCTTCTCAGTCAGATTGGAGAATTTTGATTCTTTTATCAAACTTATTTTCAAAAAGTTTTCGAAATTGAGTGAATATATTCAAGAATTCTGACTTGTTTTTCATAGGATAAATCCAGGTATGTCTACTGAAGTCATCTACAAAAGTTATATAATATCTAAAGCCTAAAATTAAGGGAATAGGTGAGTGCCCCCAGACATCTGTATGTATAAGTTCCAAGGGAGCTTTAGCATGTGAAATAGATGTATTGAAAGGCAACAACTGAGATTTTCCATACTGACAGGCATCACAAAAGGATTTGAGTTCATTTATTTTCAGATTCTGATTACATCCTTTGAGTACTTGAGACAACACCTGACTAGAGGGGTGTCCAAGTCTCCTTTGCCAAACATCACAATGGGAGTTTAAAGACTCATGCTCTTGACCTTACTGGACTCAACTGATCGTGCTGCATAGCAGGGAACATTTGGAGACACTGGCTTGAGAAAACTTGACTCAGATCTTAGGTTGGAGTTGAGAGGTTCCAGCTGATACAATCCTTCCTTAAGCTTTCCAGCATTGTTTTCCTCGTTGATTTGTCCTTAACACTATAGTAGTTAGAATGAAATTCCATAAACACATGATTATAGGAAGTAAGTTGTGAGACACTTATAAGATTCTTCTTAATCTCAAGCACAAGCAGTAGTTTATCCAAAATTAAATCTTTATCAATCATTGTTGTCATTCTGGTGGTGCAAATGTGTGAATTGTTGAGTTTAATTCCATTACCAACCATAATTTTCTCCTTACCAGAATACTTGCAGGCTTAACTGAGGTGTTCAGCATCTAAGGAGACATGATTGCTAGCTCCTATGTCAGCAAACCAGGTTGGCCTTGTGTCCGACTTTTCCACACACTTGACATGTAGGTAGATTATTAAAGTTGGATCTACCTCTGTTTCTGCCCCTTTTTCTACCACCTTTATAATTGCCACTATATTGTGATCTTCCACCATTGTAATGTCTGTAGTTTCTGCCAGAATAATAGTTGTTTGGAAACCTCTAAGTGAAGTTCACAGAAGACTGATTCAAATTCATTCCTGCCATTTCATTTTTGATAGCATTTATGTAATCAAGTCTACTCTCATATGTCATGAGAGTGGACTAAAGTTCTTCCCAAGAGATGGTGTCCTTACTGTTGATTTGCACAACAATGGGCGTGTATTCCTCATCCAAGCCAACCAGAATTTGAGTCACCAAATCAGGTAGTGCTATAGTTTTTCCAGCAACTTTAAGGTTATTAGCAAGTAGTCTGACCTTACTTAAGTACTTATCAATACTTAGATTGCCTTTCTTGGTTTTCTGGAGTTCTCCAATAAGAAACGTGATCCTAGATTTGTTTTGGATACCATAGCTCTCATTAATTGTAGTCCACAGTTGGGAGGAACTCGTGGATCCCATTACTCTCATTGCAATATCTGGAGTCATTGTGGAATAGATCCATCCCATGAGCAACCGATCAACAGATTTCCACTGATTGAATTCTGGATTGGGCGTCATATATTTACTAGTGCTTGAATCACCAGTGACTTGAGTAGTGATGAATTCTGATGGGCATACCTTAGTTCCCAGTAGATATCCTTCCAGGTTGTGGCCTCGAATGATAGGAAGTATCATATTCTTCCATAGGAGATAATTATCTCTATCAAGTTTGACAGAGGGTGTTTGAGTTAGGTTCATTCCAAACGGAGTTAGATGATGACCTCCCAACATTGGAGACACCATTCCATTCGAAATTGAGGCTGACTAAGTTTGAGGACTATCCATTTCAGTATTGGCATTGGCCATCGGTGCTCTGATACCAAGTTAAACTTTGAATTGAAAACTTGAACTCAGTATTATATATATCTTCAATCTTAATTACAATAGAGAATGAGTAAATATTAATACAAGTAAAGAAATATTGTAGACTCACAATCTCAGTCGTACAAGTGTGAGATATAATCAATGGTAATCCATAAATTATGGAGAAGATGATGAGTATAATGACACGGCTGAGAGGAAGGTTAAGCAACAGAATTCAGTTGGCAATTCAGGTCCTTCTAGAAGGAAATCAGCTCGCGTGAAGAAGTGATGGAAATGCAATTCTGTTGCGTGCTCCTTAACCATAATTTGGGAGTAGTATATTTGCTTTATGTTCCAACATCAACTAAGACTTCTTGTAAGATGAATGCATAACACCTTCAAGACCTGGAGCACGGGACCACCACTAAAAGTCTTTCCAAAAATTTCTAATCACTAATCAATTTCTTAAAATGTAGATGACCCATGAGATTTTCTAATTCAACTTGCTATGTAAGCTTGATTTCATATTTAGGCCCTTTTTGGTACACATTATTTTTTTCATTCTCATTCTTCTACTAATTTTCAACCACACATTCTTCAATAAAATAATATTTTCTATCACATCAATAATTTTTCCTTCATTTTGAACCACATATTCTCCATCAATCTACTATTCAATAATACATTCTTTCAAAAGAATGTGTCTCAAACACACTCTTAGTATATAATTTTAAAAAGACAAACGTTTTGTACTAAAATATTTTGCTTGGACAACATAGGTTTTCATATTCCTAGAAGATAAAATAAATATCAAGTATTTGAATGTTACGCTTAATTGCTTCATAAAATCACTTATCAGAAAATCAACTACACACAAGGGTTAAATTCAAAATGCTTGACGATGTAAAGAATAAAAAGCATGTTATTTATTTTGAAAAAGATTAAAAAAATCTTGTGAAAAGTAATTTATCAAATATAATATATAATATAGATACGATTTTTTTTCTAGCTTAGCCAAATATATATATTTATAAATTTTTGAATACAACCCCTGTGTTAAGAACTAAAATTTAGATTTTAATTTAAACTAAAACTAATAATTAATTTTAACCACCTATTTTATTTAACTCACAATTTTTCAACCGTCAACAAATTGAGACATGATCTCTCTAGGCCTATATGGGCTGTATATAGATTCGGTTAAAAAGCGACAAACCCGGCCCATAATCGATTATCCTATGCAATTTGTTTGCCCTTCGCTCCCAGCTCGACAGAAGCTTGATAATAATGACGGAGGAGCAGCGGCAGAGCCGGAAACGGAAAAGGGGGAGGCGTAACAAGCAAAAGAAGGCCGCCTCTTCCGCGGAAGGCGGCGCCACCACTAAGAGTCTCCGTACCTCTGCCTCTGATTCTGCCAGTTCTAATAAAAGTAACCCAAAATCCTCTTTTCTGGACAAGGTACGTATGAGCATATGAAATGAATTACAAAAATAAATAAGAAATTAATGTAATATGTGCATAAATTTTTTTTCTTACGGCAGATGAAAGCGAGATTATCGGGAGGTTACTTTCGTATGATTAATGAGAAGCTCTATACTTGCACGTACGATTTATTTCCCTCTTTTCGATTAATGCGTGCGTGTGTAAAATATGGTATCTGTCATATCAGACAATTTCGTCTACTACGCCTTTGAGTAATTTTAAGTTGTAAATATGATATTCGTGCTTCCGAGAATTGTCAAATTCTTGACGGATTTCCCAGTTCAAGTGTGGTTTCATGGTGGAATTTCTCTTACTAAGTTAACTAGGTAGCCGAGATGGGTAATTTGGTTTTTCCGTTGAAGGGTGGGTGTGCCAGATTCAATCACTTTGGCCCAAGTTGGGTTATATTGGTTTCCAACACTAAAGGGGTGTCTTCAACTTAGATTTTAATGGATTTTAAGTTCATTAAAATCTAGGTATCCTAACTTATATTTTAATAAATTTAATTAAAATTTAGGTGCCATCAACTCATATTTTAATTAGATTCGAAGAAAACCTAGGTGTTTCCAATTGCTAGTGGATTACTATGAATTTCATTAATGGAATGATTTGAATAAATTTTAACGGATTTAGAAATTCTAGCCTTCCACCTGAAATTACCGTGGATTTCTAACCCTAAATATACACACACACAAACACACACACACACACACACATTTAATATAAATAAAAAATATCAAAAATAAATAGCAACGAAATATCTCAATTTCAATTATCATTCTTATGGGAGATAAATAAAAAGGTTGAATTGGGTTCTCATTTTTTTATAAGAAATTGGAATCGAATTATTACTTTGGACAATTTATATTTAAAAAATTAAATTAATCAATCTGCTTTTGAAACTTTATTAATCAATCAAACATGTCTTGAATCATAAAATATTTATTTACATTCAAAAACATAAATGCATATTTTAGTACATATTTTGTACACAATACTCGAAACTGCAATGAAAATGATTTTTGTAGATGGAATTGATCTTTGATTTGTTGATATTTATTTGCTTGACTTCCTAGATTGTAATTTTTTTTTTTCAATTTTTATGATTTAATTGATTTTTAATTTGTTGAATTTATTTGTTTGATTTTTTAGATTGATGTGATTAGTTATTTTAAAATTTAAATGAAATTATAAATTTTTTGTAATGTAGAATTGTATTAAAATCTTACGAAATCTATTAAAATTTATAACATAGAATTCTGTTAAAATCTTATAAGATCCATGAATTCTATTCAAATCCATGATATCTATAAAACCATAGATCTTAAGAAATTAAATTTGAGTTGATGACATCCCCTTAATATTCCTTGCTCTAACTAGATTTTACACTGCTTGTCTGTATGATTTAAATGATGTTCACACTCATGGAGGATCACTTATAGTTATTTCAAAGCCTTCATATGACAAACGGACTGAAATCATCTAGCATATCCGCTTGCTGGCCTCATTCAATTAGCTTTTTGTGCAGCAAATGGTGCAAATTCCGAAGATCTTATCTTTCCTTTTTCTTCATGCAGCGGAGATGAGGCACTTGACTATTTCAAGGAAGATCCAGCATTGTTCAATGTTGTAAGTTGCTTTGATCATATCAGTGCTGTGCTCTATCGATTTCCTTGATCAAGCGCAAAGGAGAAGAAGAAACTAGTTGATTTATTAACTTTGATTCTCTTTTTATGTGTCTACGGTGGATCTCACTGTTAAGTTATCAAGATATGAGTGAAAGAAATGTTTGCATAGATTTTCTTGAACAGACTCCCATTATTTTGAATTTAAGTAGATCAGGTTCTACCATGATTTTGCCAACTCACATTTCAATTTCTGCTCCCCGAAAAATTGACCAATCACTAAATTGAAAATTCATTCATCAATGATGTTTGCCTGATAGTATTTTTAATGCAATAGTAATTCAAATATAGCACCTGTTTGGCCCCAATTTTTTAAGACACATTTTGCGAAAACTCATTTTCAACCACACATTTTATGAGACCCACGACCTTTATCAACTTTTCAACCCCACATTTCATTAACTTTTATCAAATCCACTAATAATCTGATTTTTAGCCAAATTACACAGGGGCTTAATGACTTTTGAGATTAGAATCAATGTGGACAAGTCCATATCATTAAAATGTATATTTGGTTTAGTGTTTGTTGTACTTTCCTGCGAGATCTTATTCAATTTCACATGATGCATATGTCTAGATATATAGCATGGATCCACATGTAAATCTATCTTAATATTAAAGCCTTCCCGCACCCACCACCACAACAAAAGAATAGTAGATAATTATTGATCAACTGCAGTTCGTATAGTGGATTTTGGAGTTGAATAGGTACATTGTAAAAAAAAGTAACCTTTGACAGAGTCTAAGATCAAAGTCACATGCACATATGGGATCTAATTTGACTACATGTGTGTCTATATGCACGAGTCCAAATCAAATTACAATAGCTGGCGAATGTTGAAATTGGTGTTTGAAGTTCATATATCAAATTTCTTGACCTTCCTTTGTCTGTTCTATACTTTTACAAATGACTATACAGGGCCTGGTTTCTTAAAATATAAATGCACTAGAGCTTGTCATAATTATTTGATAAAATGGTTCATAGCAAAATTGGACATGTTTGTCCATTCTATTTTACGGAAAGATAAAATATGTAGCCTGCCTGACATGTCAAAAGCCTTATAATGGAATTGCTTGTATTCATAATTTTGGTTGTTATCTTTTGTTTTGATAGTTTTGCACCGTTTCGGTTCATCTCTTTGCTCCGTCTATGACTATGATTTCTGCAGAATAGCCTGAATTCAGAATTTGCTAGCTTTTACATTTAGAAATATAAAACTATTTTGCATTTTGGTTCATGTGGTAACATAACTTTGACTTACCAGTATCATGCAGGGTATCAGGAGCAAATGTCACATTGGCCTGAACAGCCAAATGATATAATTATAAAATGGATAAAGGACCATAGCCCTTCTTTAGTTGTAGCTGATTTTGGTTGTGGTAAGAATTATGAATTGTTACCTTGACAACTACAGATATACAAATATAATATCATTCTAGACTACCTAATTTGTTTTCCACATTCTTTTTGAACATCACTGAATTTTAATCCATTTATTCCAGGGGATTCACGGCTTGCGAGAAGCGTGAAGAATAAAGTCTTCTCCATTGATCTTGTCTCAAACGATCCTTCAGTCATTGCTTGTGATATGTCCAATGTATGTGCTTAAGTTTAAATGCAAAAATTAACTTAAATTTATCTTCGAATATTGAAAGGTGCTTGCTTGTGGTTAAATTAATTATAGTGCTAAAATAATCTTTCGAATAGGGTAATATCTCACTTAATGTGCATCTGGCTTGTCCTTGGGGTATTGTGTTTATTTGACTTTTGTTTAAATATTTCCACTCTTCCATGCAGACACCCCTCGAGACTTCGTCTATAGATGTGGCCGTCTTTTGTCTCTCGTTGATGGGAATTAACTTTCCCAATTTCCTGAAGGAAGCCCATAGAGTTCTTAAATCTCAGTATGAATGTCATATTATTTATTTCCAAAATATGCGTATTTTGTTGCCAGTTCATGATCTTAAGTGAATTATGGTTCTACGCAGTGGGTGGCTTTTGATAGCAGAAGTGAAAAGCAGGTTCGACCCCAGTACGGGAGGAGCGGACCCGAACAAGTTTGTGAAAGCAATATGTGAACTAGGATTTAGTTGTCAGACAAAGGTAAAATTATTCATGTTACTTTAGTTGAGATTGATGAGTAGTTGGTTTATGATGCTAGAAGATGTACTTGTTTTCAATGCCTATTCATTTTTCATCAGTATTTAATTATTTATGGATTGATCACGAATATAAATTTGTATTGTTTGTTTGAGTTTATTTATGGCATGAAACTCCAGAAAACTATGCCCCTGTTTGACATCCTTATCCTTAAAATTTAAAAAACGATGTCTTGAATAGTATTTTTTTTTTGGAGAATTTGTGGTTAAAAGTAGGGAAAATATTTGGGTTTACATGTTATTGTGTGAATGTGTAGTTGAAAAAGAGAATGAAAAATAAACTAAATTAAGGGTGTGTTTGTCTCCCATTATTGGGAGAAAAATAGAGTAATGAATAATATTTTTTGGAGAATGTATGGTTGAAATTTAGTCCCTGTTTGACACCCATACTCATCTCATTATCATTTGCATTTTTTTCTTATTCTTCATCTCAACCACACATTCTCCCAATAAAATAATATTACATATAAATCTAAAACTTTTCATAACTTTTTCACCACACATTCTCCCATCAATCACTATTTCAAAAATTCTATTCTCCAAAAAAATGGATGTCAAACACCCTCTTAAAGTAACTTTATTAGTTTGTGCGTAGAATATTTTATTGGGTGAATGTGTGATGGAGAATCTTATTGTAACAAACAATTTTTTGGAATAATGATAGACATACAGGGGCTAAAGTGGGCTATATACCGGATTCCATTTGATCTGTTTTATGGACATGACCCTTGTTCAAATCTCTTCCTTTCAATTGACTTTTATCATCATTGCTAAAAGTAAAAGGTATTTATTGCATGCAGGACTTCTCAAACAAGATGTTCCTACTGTTTTACTTCAAGAAAAAGGTTCGATACCTTTAAACTGTTTGGTTTGGCAAGATTTATTATATTTTTGTTTCTCCTTTATGGATATAGTTACTACTCTCCCTCTTTCTGAGTCTGTGTTTGGCTAAGCTTAATTTTTTCTCTTATAGGCCCTTGTTTGAAAGTGATTAATTAAAGATCACTTTTCGCTCACACTCATTTTCAATCACACATTCTCCGAAATTTTTTTTTTCATATTTTCCTATAATTTTTCCCTACTTTTTTAACCACGTATTCTCCACAAAATTCACTTTTCAAATAGTCACTTCCACACAAAGGCTAAGTTGCAAGGAAATAAGTATGATTTAAAATTATTTTCCATGTGTCAAAATTGGAATTAAGTTGAGTGCCCGTTTGGCCTCAATTATTTCGCGTTATAATGAGAGGAATAGTAATTTTTTGGAAAATATGATTAAAAAAGAAGGAAAAGTTTTTGTGTTTACGTGTAATATTATTTTATTGAAAAATGTGTGGATGATGAGAAGAGGGAAATGAATTATAATTTAGGCTGATTTTGAAAGTGACTTTTACTAGCAAAATAGTCAACTTATTTTACTTGTTTGTAAGAAGAAAAGTAACTTATCCACCCATATTTGGAATCAAAATGTTAAGAGTAAATGACTTTTAAGCTTTGGTTCTCAATTCTCTCTTGTAGGAGAAACTGGATTCTAGAAAGCAAATCGAGTGGCCTGAGCTGAAACCTTGTTTGTACAAGCGTCGTTGAGCATTATGCTATCCTTCTGACAAGTGGTGCCCTATCTGGAGGTTGGATCACCATGAATCTGGTCCTGGAATTCGGAAACATCTGTGGCCATATTTCAATGGGGTGGGTTGGTCGACGATCCAATTGAAAGTGGTCAACTTGTCATCCGGGGTCTTATCAAATGGCCAAGGGAATAGTTTATAATCATGATATTTGGGGAAGTGGCTAGTTTTTTTGTTGGGTGATTTTTTATTTTTAATGTTACTTTCATTTATTTCGTATTTAATATGGAATTTCAGTCAGAATTTGTTGTGTCCTCTGGAAATCCTAAACAGCGTGGTATTGAGTTTATGTCAAAAACACAAAATAAAACAAATGCACCCATAAAGCTATTGTTTGGTGGAGATTTTTTGAGAATGAATTTTGGGAAAAGTGTTTTTTTCATAGAATGTACAGTAAGTAGGGAAAATTTTTCGGTTCGAGTCAGAATTTATTTTGTTGAAAGAATGTCAAGCGTACGTTTGGTAGCCATTTTCAGCAACTTCGAAGAAAAAGATGATCGTTAAAGAATATTTGTGGGTCCCACATGTGAGAGGACAAGTCAAAAAAGATGGCTGACTTTGATTTGTGATGTGATAAATATTTTACAAAATATTGTATGCCATAATTAACACCAATGTAGCCTTTGTAACTGATGAATTTTTAAATTATCTCTAGTATTACGCTGACCATTAATGCCGTTTCAAAACACATTGCAAAATTCAAAAAAGCATGATTTTTGGCAAAATATAGCCCTATTTTTCTATGGAAACGGATCATCCTTCTATTTTTGCTTTACTATCCACCATCAAGAAGTTTGATCTTAGTATTTCCAGTTTGTTGCAGAGATTCATAATTTGATCTTAGTATTTCCAGTTTGTAAATGTAGTTGTTTCATAAATTTTTGTCATATCTGATTCATGGTTCGAGAATATTCTGCAATTTTTTGTATTTCTGCAATTTTTTGTATTTCACTTCGAAAAATAACTAAATCTATACTCAAGATTCACATTCCCCGTCATTTTGGTTTCACGATTCATCAAGCTGTGACTTAGCTTTTGTATGTAAATATGGTATTCCGAATAAGATTCTGAATTTCCATTTTGTCTATGAATAATTATTACGTTTCATCTTGACACGTGGATATCTGGATGTTACGGTAAAATCAATTTCGTTTTTAAGGATGGATGATTGTATATTGTAATCCATAAGTGGGAAAAAAAATAATTTCGTACATCATTTGATTACCACAACATTCTGGGTTTCATAATATTAAAATTCAATTTCATAACTATTGCATCTTAGCTTATGAGATGTCTCCGTGTTAAGGCTATGTTTGTCGATCTGTTTCATACGTATGAATGTATATTGCAACCTATAATTCAAGAATAATTATTTACTACATCACTCGATAATTGTAACTTTGATAATGTGACATATTGTAGATGAAGCTTGAAATATTGACATACTGTGGAAGAACCTTGTAATAACAATGATTACTGTAAAAGGAAGCTTCAATTTGTTTGAATGTGGTGATTTTGCAAGCATGATTAGGGTTTATATATTTGCGGATAAATCCTAATCATGCTTGTATTGATGATCAAATAATGTTTTTTTAATATATTTTAATACGAAAAATAGTGCTGTGAATTTGGGTGAGGATTAGTGAAATAAGATTTTTTCGATTTCTTGATAGCGTTCTGAATAGAGATTTTTAGAAATGAATACCGACGAGAATTAGGGTATTTAGATTGAAAAACTATGGAAGCATGATTGGGGAGGAAAATTCGCACATAATTGATTATCAATTTAAAAAAACGAGGGGCGTGTTTGGTGGCATCTATTCAGTTCACAATTAATTTCTCTAGAATGAGTGAAGTGATTCATTTGTTTTTCATTTTACTATTATTTTTAAAGTGAAAAAATTTATTAAGAAGTATGGGCATAATTTCCACGGATGTAAACGCAGATATTTTCCTTCGTCGCGAGAAATCAGTCAGTCTTCAACTGGCCCACCTGAGGACAGACTGCCGGTTTTGAAGTCAAAACAAACATACTTGTTTCCATTTATAGCTTGGAGGGCAAGTCATAAAAAATATTACCGTTTTACCTCAAAACTTAACCCAATCTATAACCGAGGCTCGGACTCAGACCCTAGAGTTAAAATGCTTCATTAGGAAAATGTTTCTTTTTCTTTCAAAAAAAATAAAAAAAATCTCTTTTTTGACTAGGCAAGTGTGAAAAAAATAAAAAGAAAGGTACTACTACACTCTCTTTGAGAGCTTGTATGGGAGGGATTAAAATCAGACTAAAATTGAAAATATAGTCGTTATTGGGTCTCACCCGTCTAATATAAGTCAACAATTTCTGGAGGTTGGATCACCATGAATCCGGTCCTGGAATTCGGAAACATCTGTGGCCATATTTCAATTGGGTGGGTTGGTCGACGATCCAATTGAAAGTGGTCAACTTGTCATCCGGGGTCTTATCAAATGGCCAAGGGAATAGTTTATAATCATGATATTTGGGGAAGTGGCTAGTTTTTCTGTTGGGTGATTTTTTATTTTTAATGTTACTTTCATTTATTTCGTATTTAATAGGGAATTTCAGTCAGAATTTGTTGTATCCTCTGGAAATCCTAAACAGCGTGGTATTGAGTTTTATGTCAAAAACACAAAATAAACCAAATGCACCCATAAAGCTAGAGATTTTTTGAGAATGGATTTTGGGAAAAGTGTTTTTTTCATAGAATGTACAATTAAAAGGTAGGGAAAATTTTTAGGTTCGAGTCAGAATTTATTTTGTTGAAAGAATGTCAAGCGTACGTTTGGTAGCCATTTTCAGCAAATTTGAAGAAAAAAATGATCGTTAAAGAATATTTGTGGGTCCCACATGTGAGAGGACAAGTCAAAAAAGATGGCTGACTTTGATTTGTGATGTGATAAATATTTTACAAAATATTGTATGCCATAATTAACACAAATGTAGCCTTTGTAACTGATGAATTTTTAAATTATCTCTAGTATTACGCTGACCATTAGTGCCGTTTCAAAACACATTGCAAAATTCAAAAAAGCATGATTTTTGGCAAAACATATCCCTATTTTTCTATGGAAACGGATCATCCTTCTATTTTTGCTTTACTATCCACCATCAAGAAGTTGTCTTTGCTGCAGAAATTCATAATTTGATCTTAGTGTTTCCAGTTTGTAAATGTAATTGTTTCATAAATTTTTTGTCATATCTGATTCATGGTTCGAGAATATACTGCAATTTTTTGTATTTCACTTCGAAAAATAACTAAATCTATACTCACAATTCACATTCCCCATCATTTTGGTTTCACAATTCATCGAGCTGTGACTTAGCTTTTGTCTGTAAATATGGTATTCCGAATAAGATTCTGAATTTCCATTTTGTCTATGAATAATTATTACGTTTCATCTTGACATGTGGATATCTGGATGTTACGATAAAATCTATTTCGTTTTTAAGGATGGATGATTGTATATTGTAATCCATAAGTGGGAAAAAAAAATAATTTCGTACATCATTCGATTACCACAATATTCTGGGTTTCATAATATTAAAATTCAATTTCGTAACTACTGCATCATTGCTTATGAGATGTCTCCGTGTTAAGGCTATGTTTGTCGATATGTTTCATACGTATGAATGTATATTGCAACCTATAATTGAAGAATAATTATTTACTACATCACTCAATAATTGTAACTTTGATAATGTGACATATTGTAGATGAAGCTTGAAATATTGACATACTGTGGAAGAATCTTGTAATAACAATGATTACTGTAAAAGGAAGCTTCAATTTGTTTGAATGTGGTGATTTTGCAAGCATGATTAGGGTTTATATATTTGCGGATAAATCTCAATCATGCTTGTATTGATGATCAAATAATGTTTTTTTAATATATTTTAATACAAACAATAGTGCTGTGAATTTGGGTGAGGATTAGTGAAATAAGATTTTTTCGATTTCTTGATAGCGTTCTGAATAGAGGTTTTTAGAAATAAATACCGGCGAGAATTAGGGTATTTAGATTGAAAAACTATGGAAGCATGATTGGGGAGGAAAATTCGCACATAATTGATTATCAATTTAAAAATAGGAGGGGCATTTCTCTAGAATGAGTGAAGTGATTCATTTGTTTTTCATTTTACTATTATTTTTAAAGTAAAACATGAAAAAAATTTATTAAAAAGTATGGGGCATAATTTCCACGAATCTAGACGCAGATTTTTTCCTTCCTCGCGAGCAATCAGTCGGTCAGTCTACTACTGGCCCACCTGAGGACAGACTGTCGATTTTAAAGTCAAAACAAACATACTTGTCTCTCTAGTTTCCATTTATAGCTTGGAGGGCAAGTCATAAAAAATATTACCGTTTTACCTCAAAACTTAACCCACTATATAACCGAGGCTCGGACTCAGACCCTAGAGTTAAAATGCTTCATTAGGAAAATGTTTCTTTTTCTTTCAAAAAAAATAAAAAATCTCTTTTTTGACTAGCCAAGTGTGAAAAAAATAAAAAGAAAAGTACAACTACACTCTCTTTGAGTGCATATTTTATTTTTCTCTCAATTTCTTCATTTAAAATTCTCTATTTCCAAAGACAAAGAATTCATGAATAATACGTGTGACTCTATTTGATTTTGCTATTAAAAAGGATCGAAAAATTGAGCTTTTTGATTATAAGCAAGGTTATGTAATAATTACATCCTGTTTCATAGCTATTTTTAGCCCGAAATTTTTTTACCGTTGAAATGGGACCACTTTCTGTCAAAAAAAAAAAGATGTCCACATCATTTGACTAAGGTTATGTGATTTGATTTTGTCAATCACCATTTCTATCCTTCATTTTTGTGTGAGCATAAAAACATGGAGGGACAATTCCGTCATTTACTACTGACATATGTCAATAATGACAGTGACCAAGGGATCTATTACAGTGATGAAATGTTTATTACAAAGAGGTGGGGAATGCATTTTAAATAGTGATGTGATGGAAATTATGTGGTTAAAAAATAAGAAAAAATTTTGGATTTACGCGTTATATTATTTTATTGAAAAATGTGTGGTTGAAAATGATTTTTGAAAAAAATAAATTTTTATAAGAATGTCAGAATGTGAATCAAATTGAGTATTTTGATCCATTTTAATCACATATTATTCCATAAAATAATATTCCAAGCAAATTCAAAATTTTTTCTTATTTTTTAATCATACATTATTACATTTCTCATCAATACACTATTCAAAAATACTTTTTTTATTTAAAAACAAAAATGGGGCTCAACACATGCCCTTAATGTTTGTTTGTGATAGTTTAAAAAGTTAATGTTAAAGCAAATAATTAAAAAGTTTAAAAATTTATAAACACATATTTTATCAAGTTTTATTAAAATCTGCTAAAACTTTTATTGTCAAACCAATTTTCATTTTTATTTTTGGCTGCCTATACTTTAGACGTAGAATACCGCCCGAGCCTCAGGTTTGGGAAATCAAAGCCTCTAATAACACAAACACACCTGAGACCGAGTTTTCCCGCTCATATACACGCGCGGAATAAAGAGGAAAGTGCCTTACACTTCCTCATCGCAGCTTCGAATACACTGAGAATACTTTCTGTAGCTTCTGAATCATGGCTAGGTACACTGGGAACGCTGAAATTATCTTATACTTGATTTTTCTTGTATAATAATTGAATGGGTTGGTGATGAAAATCAATTTTACAATCTGGATATGTTTTGTTTTGGGTATGATTTGGAATCATCTGAGTAAGCAAGAATGTAAGAATTTACGCAAGTTTTAGTGCAGATTTTTTTGCCTTTTATCTTGTTATTCATAAACTCTTATCTTTTGTATGGTGTTTTGATTAGTATCTAGGTTTTGTTCCGAAGCTCCAAGAGCGATGAGTTTTGGCCGTATTACAAACAATGGAAGCTCTGTTAATTTTTTTTCTCTCTTTTTCGATTGTACTCTCTTGTTTTTGTGTCAAAAGCACTATCAATTTCATTTTATTTTATTTTTTACTTTTTCTTTTTTTGTTCCTGGGAATTTGATTGGATTGGGGGATGATGACATCTGGAAAAAAAGATTGCTGAAATTTAGCAAGAATAGAATTTTGTTTATGTAAAAGTCATTTTATATAATATTTTAAGGTAGACAGATGTAATTTCTGGCTTTTTACTAAATTCGTTTTTTGTGAGTAAATTAGGTAATTCAAGGGAAAGCATTCGACTTTTGTAAATTGAGTCTAACTGATTTCTAATAGACATGTGCAGCGCGTTACATTTTACAAATGTATTTCGTATAACCTATTCTTTTGAGAATTTTAATTTACACATCTGAAAATTTTGATTAACTAATTTCGTAAAGGTAGAGTGTTCTCACAATGCAATTCAGAGAATATACCTTGAGAGAATTTTTCTTACTCGTTCCTGAAACTTGTTGGATCTAGTTGCTTTTAGATCTTCCGGTAAATTTATTGATGAACTGAATGGAGTGAGAAAAAGGATTGTGTAGCCAACCCTGAGAATTGTTCAAATCAATAATTTAAACTCGAAATGAAGATATGCTTCTCTAGTTTATTGAGTTTGGTTTCATGTTAAAATACGCATTGTTTAAGCATTTAAGTTACTAAGAGTTGTGTCTGTATTTACTTTGTAAGTTGGTGTTGCCATGATGTTTCTAAGAATGCTATCCATTTTCTTTCATTGAAATATGCTTCTGTTTGGTTTGACTTACTGTATAATTATTGCAGGTCTTGGCTTATTGATAGCAGAGGACTTGCTCGAAAAGTGAAAAATGCTACTCTTCCTCCTGCATGTCAAATCAAAGAATGTGAGGTGAATCGGGAATGCCCAAAGTGCCAGCATCGCATTGATAATAGTGATGTAAGCTGGCATTCTTTATGTATCTAAGAAAATAGTTGCATTAATTTCCTTTTTTTTTTTTCTCTCGGGTGAAATTTTAATGTGATACAGATGTTGATACTTAACTTGAATTAATTTCTTTATCTTTGTTCGGGTGAAATTTATTCTTGAATTTACTTACAAACTCCTTATGTGCAGGTTTCTCAAGATTGGCCTGGCCTCCCTGTTGGTGTAAAGTTTGATCCATCTGATGAGGAATTGATTGAACATTTGGCTGCAAAATGTGGGGTGGGGAATTCGAAGCCACACATATTTATTGATGAATTCATATCGACTCTTGAAGGTGAAGAGGGGATATGCTACACCCATCCAGAAAATCTTCCAGGTGCGTAAACACCCGACTCTTAGATAAATTCAGATTTTAATCCAAGTCAAAGCCAACAATGAATTTTAACCACATATTTCATGGTCCCACAACTTAACTTAAAGTAATTTTGATTGCTTTTAGCAGTTAAAAGTGGCTGAGTTCTTTAGATTACCTCACAATTCTTGCCTGATTTTGTGTAGTAATATGCATGTGTTGATGGACGTTGTAATAGAAGGCTTTCATTTCATCATAATCCCTAGCTTAAACTGATGTAATAGAATCGTTCTAATAGATGACTTGGTCTAATTTGTTTTTTTATTAGATAACGTACTTCTTTGGTTCACTCACTTAATTCAATGTAGCATGCCCCACATCGTCTCAGTATTGTTGAGATGTGTAGTCTATGAGGTGTAGAAGAACCTCAAATTGTTCACTGGTTTTAAAGTTATGAGTTAGTCTCATAAACTTTATCCTAGTACAAGAGCGGGTGTAGTCAGATATAGATCAGGCTCGTTTCTCTAGCCCTGAGGGAGAGTGCAAAGTGACTCCTGCCCTGGTGCTAAGGCAGTGTTAACGTGTCTAACTTTGGTTCAGTGCAATTGAGATGTAGAGTGTATAAGATGAAGGCAAATCTCAGATTGTAAAATTGATTTTACGGATACTTGGTCCAATATATATTGGTTATTAGACATTGGGTTTTGATTTCTTGCGCTGATTAATTTTATTTATGATCATCTGGATTTGTTTCAGGTGCTAAAAAGGATGGAAGCAGTGTCCATTTCTTTTATCGGACATCCAATGCGTATGCTAGTGGTCGGCGTAAACGCCGAAGGATTCATGACCAAGAAAGTGTGGAAAAAGGACATGTCCGCTGGCATAAGACAGGTAAGACCAAACCTGTGATGCAAAATGGGAATCAGAAAGGTTGTAAGAAAATCATGGTTCTCTATGAAACCTCAAAAAAGGGATCCAAGCCTAATAAATGTAACTGGGTTATGCATCAGTTCCATCTGGGGACTGATGAAGATGAGAGGGAAGGAGAATATGTGGTTTCAAAGATTTCATACCAGCCACAGAAGGAGACTGACAAGAACGAGACTAATTTGAATCGTGAAGAATCTGATATTGGGACAACCCACACAAGTCCCAAGACTCCGAAGACAAATACTCCCTTTCCTCCTCGACCAGTGAAATCTCCTGATGAAGTATCTGATAAGGGGATAACACCATCACCACTCCAGGTTGGTGACGACATATTAATTGGAAACTTATTGGCTGCTTGGATTGTTGAGTTGGCCATTTCGTCCTGTAAGAATTTTCTTTTCGAAATTGATGCACAAGATACTTGTCGGATGCAACAAGAGGATTCATAATGCTTATTGGAAAACTCTATTAACTTATATCTCAATTATTGTTATAGATTAGTAAACTAAGTATCTGTTCCTTTAATGGCTGCAACGTTACAATTCACTGTGTTTGCCAAGAAGCTTCCATTTATTGGGAATTGTTACATAACATTAATTCATATTTGAAGTATACATTGTCTTGATTTTAGCTCGAAATATAGAAACCATATGCAATACTGAGTTTCTTAATGTGGAAGTATAAACTCCTTCAGTATATAATGATGATGTCATTAGTTGATTAACGACCCTTTCAGCTTAAATAGTTGATCCATGATTGTGTCTTTAGGTGAATCTTTGACCTGGTGTTCCCCATTCTTTATGTGACACATTCTTTGTAGTGGGACAAGTATGTGACTCTGGATATAAGATATTTTTGCTCGCACTTAATTGAAAACATGGGTCTCTGGTTAGTTTTAAGTTATTTGTATATCGCGCATTTTTATCGGAATATCTGGACTTCTTGAAATCAAATGTATCCTGATAGATATTGTAATTATTGTAGATATTCAAAGAGTCGTCTCATCCTCCATCTTATCCGCAGTTGAAGGAACAAATCGACTTCACCACTAGTTTGGCTGGAGAATCCCAAGCTCTTGATATGGATGGTTTGCTATTATGCAACGAGATAATTGACTCTTATGCACCATTGAGTGATTTAAGGCCTAAAAACTCATCGAACACTCAAGTTGCTGGCAACATAACCGACTTAACCCAGGGAGATGGAAATAGTACTTTCGGAATTGCTGATCTTGAGAACTTAGAATTGGATACTCCACCAGATTTTCAGCTTGAAGTAAGCTCTTCTTCCTGTGATTTGTATTTATCTTTTTAAAAAAATAATTCCAAAAACATGACGTCATTAATTCATTACTCTTATAATCCTGATCGATGCTTTCAGGATTTGCAGTTTGCTTCTCAAGACAGTATATTTGATTGGTTGGATCGCATCTAGACAAAAACTCTGCACAAGGGTGGAAGCGAAGTCCCAATTTTGTCCTGTCCCTCATCAAATTTCAGGTAAAACGTCCGTTGACAATGGAAAAAACCGGTCTTGGAGGGATTCCAGGAATTTTCACTTTCCCCATATTTTCATCAAGTGCATTTGATCTTACCCGACAAAGCAATGGAGTTTCAACATCAAATTTATGTTGCAGCTCCAGGAAGTCTCTGGTTTTGCTTTTTGGGGCTCGACTGCACTAGCTTTGAGCTTCCTGGGCATATTTTAATTACTATATTTGGGTTAAACATTCTGGTTCCAATGTCATTAGAATGGAATATAAACTACATTAAAGCTGAGACTTGTATAAAGTGGATTCCATCACCGTAAAAGGTTATTGTGTATATATAAATCTCTCTGATTGCACAAGGGTATGTTGTTTGTAATTTTCTTTCCTTGTTTTGGTACCATGGATCTAAGAAATAGTGTTTTTTGGGGACCTTGATTCCAAAAATTAAGGAATTGCATCCTTCCTCTGTTGACATGTTAATGGTGTGAGCATATTTGGCCGAGCTTAAAGAGAATGAAATGTCTATTTATAAGTTCCCAAATATATTTGCACAATTGTGTCTTCCAATAAAATTTTAAAAATAATGAAACTTTTTTTTTTTTTTAGAAAAAAGTAATTATATAAGGAAGCAAGTGTTTGAGGCAACAAAAATGTCACGGTGAACCAAGTTTGTTAAATAAATTGGAATTGAGACTTCAGATAACTTGTAGAGAGCGGCGGATTCAGCACCTGGCGAGCTCCGACGGCAGTTCGTGCTGGATTCGTTGATACTCAATTTTTTTTTTCGTTGTTTTTTTTTTTTTGTCGATGTATTTATTTATTTGGATATATATATTTATGATTTCCTTTTATTCACGAAAGGTTCTTATAGTTTAGTTAGTTAACTGGGGTCTTGTGATGTCCATTGGAATTATGAAACACTTGATTACTATTACATTTGGGGATGTTAACTTTTAATGTAACAAAATTCTATATATTCACCTGTTCTAAAAAAAATTTTAACTAAAATTCAACCTTACAATGAGATTATTAAAATAGACATTTTTTTCTACTAGACTGAAATTATTAGCAAATTGAACCAAGAAGTAAATAATTAGAACCATTTTTCAAATTTCAAATTGTTACTCAATAAACATTATTAAACTGGTAAATAACATATACCCAAGTTACAATTCAAACTACGATATAAGTAATTTCAGTTCACGGCATCAATTATTATTGCGGACGTCAATGGTTAATGACCGCTCGTGCTCACTCAAAATCTTAGATCTGACAATGCTTGAAGATGAAGATAAGCATAGCTTCATGTCTCACACAATAAATAGGTAATGCTCCTAAAAAGCATGTTGGACTAGAAGAGGATTCTGCAAGACCTCGAAAAACTTGGCTAGCTAGGCAAGCTCAATTTCGTTCTAATGTAGGCTAAATCTCGAACTTATAATCTAGAGGGCGTAGGCTTGACCTCGGGCTTAGCCTTAGACTAATGAGATAGGCTTGACATCGATCTTAGCTTTCAAGTACTTAAAACAACATGCGTCGAGGTTTGTTATCGTTGCTTCTTTGATAAGTTAGTAAACGTGGAGATAATATAAATGAGAGACTATAAATTGATGAAAACACGCATAATTAATTGTACCTATTTATAGTAATTTATAGTATCCTTATTAAATTTATTCGTTTAAACACTATGGCCCTGTTTGGGAATGATTAAATTTTTCTACAGTAAATCAATTCTCATTTTCAACCACACATTCTTCAATAAAATAATATTTTTCATCACATCAATAATTTTTTTTTCTTTTTCAACCACACATTTCCCATCATATCACTATTCAAAATCAATTTTTCTCCAAAAAATCTCTCCCAAACAAGCTCTATGTCCTTGTTTTTTTAAAACTCATTTTTTTTTTAAAATTTATTCTCAACCACACAATTTATAGGATCCCAAATCAAAATTTGAAAGGCTCATTTGTCCATTGTATTTTTGAATAAGCAAAACAAATAATATTGTAAAAATGCGATTGAATACTCGATCCTCATTTTAAAACAATTCAACAATAATTTTGGACGAAAATCATGATTAATGACAAGATTTTTTGATTAATTAGATGTTAAAAATAAGAATGCGATGAGAAATTAAGTTAAGGATATAAATGTGATAGTGAATAAATGTTAATGATCTTTAATGTAATTAAAATATGGTATACTTATAAAAAAAATAAAAATAAATGTGATGTGATGTGCCTTATTTTATTAGATCCCAATCACACGAGTTAATTGTTTTAATGTACACTAAACTTTAGGTAGCATCAAGTTTCATTTACCGAACTCCATATTGCAGTTTATCACTCACTGAACTTTATTTTAGGTAGCATCAAGTTTCATTACCGAACTTCATCTTGCACTTCATCACTCACTGAACTTTACTTTATGCTGTTGCACTCCATTGCTCATCAAATTACCCCCTCACTAAGATCTGCACACGTGGAGGACGTGACGTGTCATTTTAAAAATACAAATTGTCGCCACGTTGGAAATTGCTGAAAGAAAACGCCTGATCCATTAGTGGGAAGAGAGCCCTAAAAACACGTGATCACAGAGGCGACGGTCGCTTGGGAAGATAATTCGAACTGCAACATTAGAATCTTCTTCACCAAAATCATCCTCATTAGAGCAATCAAGATGGGTTGACTCACCACGAGTCAAGTCAAAAGACTCGGCACCACGTTCCACAAGGCTCCTAAACTCATCCTCCAAACGGAACATAGATTGTTGCAGCAAATCCTCTGCCCGATCGAGACAAGCAACGATATTATTGTCATCGGCTAACTGGTTCCAATCTCGAATGGTAGATATCAATCGGTCCGCGGAATCAAGAAAAGACTATGATTCAGCAGGGTCCGACCAAACGGGTTGGTTAGAAGACACATAACGGAAGATCTGACGGTCCAAAGACTTGAGGGTATGTTCCAGTTAAAAATTAAGGAATTGCATCCTTCCGCTGTTGACATGTTAATGGTGCGAGCATATTTGGCCGAGCTTAAAGAGAATGAAATGTCTATTTATAAGTTCCCATATATATTTGCACAATTGTGTCTTCCAATAAAATTTTAAAAATTTTTTTAAGAAAAAAGTAATTATATAAGGAAGCAAGGTTTTGAGGCAACAAAAATGTCACGGTGAACCAAGTTTGTTAAGTAAATTGGAATTGAGACTTCAGATAACTTGTAGACAGCGGTGGATTCAGCACTTGGCGAGCTCCGACGGTAGTTTGTGCTGGATTCGTTGATACTCAATTTTTTTTTTCTTTGTTTTTTTTTTGTCGATGTATTTATTTATTTGGATATATATATTTATGATTTCCTTCTATTCACGAAAGGTTCTTATAGTTTAGTTAGTTAACTGGGGTCTTGGGTTTGACTCTTTTACCTTTTTGGAATAGCTATCCTTTTGCAATTATTTTAGTTTAATATCTTTTACCTTTTTGGAGTTTATAGGCATTATAAAAATCAGTGCAATTTGAAGATTCGAACTTGTGATCTCCATTGGAATTATGAAACACTCGATTACTATGACATTTGGGGATGTTAACTTTTAATGTAACAAAATTCTGTATATTCACCCGTTCTAAAAAAAAATTTAACTAAAATTCAACCTTACAATGAGATTATTAAAATAGACATTTTTTTCTACTAGACTGAAATTATTAGCAAATTGAACCAAGAAGTAAATAATTAGAACCATTTTTCAAATTTCAAACTGTTACTCAATAAACATTATTAAACTGGTAAATAACATATACCCAAGTTACAATTCAAACTACGGTATAAGTAATTTCAGTTCATGGCATCGATTATTATTGCGGACGTCAATGGTTAATGACCGCTCGTGCTCACTCAAAATCTTAGATCTGACACTGCTTGTAGATGAAGATAAGCATAGCTTCATCTCTCACACAATAAATAGATAAGGGTTAATTTCACAAATGGTCACTGAAGTTACAGCAAAATTTCAAAATGGTCACTAAAGTTCGAAACTTGCATAAACGGTCACTCAACTTACACTCACTTTCAAAAATGGTCACTGAACAAAATTAAGGGACTTCTTTGTTCTAATTGAAACCTAAATTAACAAAACAAGGCCCCTGCAAAATTGGAGGACCTGAAGTGCGATTTTCCCTTTTTCACCAAAAAGGCATCCTACCTCCGACGACCTCCGGCCACCAAAGCCGCCAGACATTACCACCGGTCCACAGCTCTCAACTCCAGCTTCCCATACCACCAAACATCACCTAATTCCAACAACTACAGAGGTCGAAATCTGTGTGCAAAGTTCACTGCCTTCCAAACTGAAAATCGTCAGGAATCATGCTTCCGGCTACCCCCATGGTCGGAGCCCACCTCCAGCCAACTGCCCTTCACCAGGTGACCAAATGGTCCAAACCCATGCCAACAATTCATTACAAACAACAGCAAAAAATGTCAATTGCAACCAAGAAATTTCACCAGTCGATGCTTGCGACATAGCCAGCGAACAACACCAATTCCGGCGACGGCAGGGACACCAACGGTCGAGGACCACCTGGGCTAGGTCCCTCTGCACCTGCGCACCTGGCCCAGGTTTGGGGCTTGGTCAATTTCGTCCTAAAGTTGCTGATTTGTGGGAGACATTCAGGGAGGCTGCCAAAAATTCGGGGCTGCTAATTTTGATAAATCAATGTTGGTGCAAATGGTTAATTCAATGATGGAAACATCTATAGAGGTTAGGAGCATCATGGGTAACCAATCAATTGACCCAATTAACAATCTAAACTCTGGATTGATTTCGTCCAGTGAAGTTGAGCGTGAAGGAGTTCTGTGTGATGATGAAATATTGACCTTTACTCAATTCTTGAAGAAATTGATCTAGTGAATGCTTACAATAGTAAAGAAAGAGAACACAATGAAAATCACAGTATTTCAATTCTACATTCATGAAGCAAACTCAAACCATAAGAAAAACCTCCCTGGAGATTTATCTAGATGCCAGCGGATTCCAGGGAAGCTTGATCAAAAATGTCAAGCGAAGATTTCTAAAGTAAATTTTCAAGGAACCATGGATTAAGATCATGGGTCCCCTGCCAATTGAAAGATTGAATGATCAATCGAGCCCAATTTTGCTTCATTCCCCAATATTGAATGATCAAAAACTCGTCTGGGAATGGGATGCCTTTTTGGTGAAAAAAAGGGCAAAATCACACTTCAGGTCCTTAAATTTTGCAGGGGCCTTGTTTTGTTAATTTAGGTTTCAATTAGAACAAGGAAGTCCCTTAATTTTGCTCAGTGACCATTTTTGAAAGTGAGTGTAAGTTGAGTGACCGTTTGTGCAAGTTTCAAACTTTAGTGACCATTTTGAAATTTTGCCGTAACTTCAGTGACCATTTGTAAAATTAACCCAATAGGTAATGCTCCTAAAAAGCATGTTGGACTAGAAGAGGATTCTGCAAGACCTCGAAAAACTTGGCTAGCTAGGCAAGCTCAATTTCGTTCTAATGTAGGCTAAATCTCGAACTTATAATCTAGAGGGCGTAGGCTTGACCTCAGGCTTAGCCTTAGACTAATGAGATAGGCTTGACATGTATCTTAGCTTTCAAGTACTTAAAACAACATGCGTCGAGGTTTGTTATCGTTGCTTCTTTGATAAGTTAGTAAACGTGGAGATAATATAAATGAGAGACTATAAATTGATGAAAGCACGCATAATTAATTGCATCCTTATTAAATTTATTCGTTTAAACACTATGTCCTTGTTTTTCTTCCATGTTTTAAAACTCATTTTTTTTAAAATTTATTCTCAACCACACATTTTATAGGATCCCAAATCAAACTTTGAAAGGCTCATTTGTCCATTGTAATTTTGAATAAGCAAAACAAATAATATTGTAAAAATGCGATTGAATACTCGATCCTCATTTTAAAACAATTCAACAATAATTTTGGACGAAAATCATGATTAATGACAAGATTTTTTGATTAATTAGATGTTAAAAATAAGAATGCGATGAGAAATTAAGTTAAGGATATAAATGTGATAGTGAATAAATGTTAATGATCTTTAATGTAATTAAAATATGGTATATTTATAACAAAATAAAAATAAATGTGATGTGCCTTATTTTATTAGATCCTATTGGAATAACAGAAAAATGGAAATGAATGTTTCTCACTTGATTGAATATGATCACTGTGGTGAAATATATACACCACGGCAGCAACAGCAAGAGCCAGTGGTTACAACAATAAAACGAGCTGGCAAAACAATATAACAGAATTGGAAACTAATTCTACACTAAAGTCCTTCAACTATACAAAGTTTAGATATTAGTATATGAACTTTACATATGAGCTCTAATACTCCCCCTCAAGATGTGTTGTAAATGTTTTTAACACACATCTTGTTCATCAATGGTTTCAAAACAGACGCTGGCAGAGATTTGGTGAAGGCGTTCGCAAGTTGATGCTTTGACCGAATGGGGAGAAGCTTTATTATGCCGGATTTAATTTTATCTTGTATGAAATGGCAATCGATTTCAATATGTTTAGTTCGCTCGTGGAAAACGGGATTGGCAGCAATTTGAATGGCTGCATGATTGTCACAATAAATGATAGCTGGTGATACGTTAAAAACTTGAAAATCTTTCAGAAGCTGATGAATCCAAATGATCTCAGTCACAGTAGAGGCAATAGCTCTATATTCCGCTTCGGCTGAAGAACGAGAGATGGTTTGCTGCTTCTTTGATTTCCATGACACCATTGAATCACCAATAAAAACACAAAAACCAGTAGTTGACTTTCGAGTATCAATGCAAGATCCCCAATATGCATCTGAAAATGCTCGCACAGTTATGGGATTGTTGTGTGATGACTGGGAGGAAAATAGAATACCTTGTCCAGGACTTGCCTTCAAATACCTTAATAAGTGGTGGATCACTTTGAGATGTGGCAATCTTGGTTGAGCAGCATATTGGCTCAGTTTATGGACGGCAAAAGTAATATCAGGCCGGGACAAGGTTAGGTAGATAAGTTTTCCAATTAACCTCATGTAAAGGGAAGGATTTGGTAGCAAGTCTCCTTCATGGATGCTGAGTGTATATTTTGCTTCCATAGGGCTGCTTACTGGTTTGCAGTCAAGATATCCTTCATCTTCAAGGAGTTGCAAGGTGTATTGTCTCTGCGAGATAACAATGCCTGATGATGATCGCGCAATTTCAATTCCCAAAAAATATTTCAGATTCCCCAGATCTTTGAGCTTGAACTGAGACTGCAAGAAGGTTTTCAAGGAATTAATAACACAAACATTTGGTCCAGTTATAACAATATCATCCACGTAGATGATCAAGGCCACAAAGTTTGCTCCAGAACCCTTTGTGAAGAGTGAGTAATCTGCTTTAGATTGAGTGAAACCAAAAATGGTGAGGGCATGAGCAAATTTTTCATTCCACTCTCTTGAAGCCTGTTTAAGTCCATAGATGGACTTGTGTAATTTGCACACCATTTTCTCCCCCTGTTTGAAGGAATGAAGAAATTCATAACCAAGAGGAAGGTCCATATAAACTTCTTCAAACAAGTCACCATTGAGAAAAGCATTGTTCACATCCATTTGGAACAAGTGCCAGCTATGTTGAGCTGCAAGGGTGAGTAAAACTTTGATTGTAACACCCTTTGCTACTGGTGAGAAAGTGTCGAAATAGTCTAAACCCTCTTGTTGTATATAGCCCTTTGCTACAAGGCGTGCCTTATGTCTGTCAAGAGTTCCATCCGAATGAAATTTGTTTTTGAAGATCCATCTACACCCAACAGAATGTTTTCCTGGAGGCAGAGGTACCACTGTCCAGGTGTTGTTGAGTTCCATGGCTTGCAATTCAAGTTTCATTGCAGCACGCCGATGGGGAAGCTTGACAGCCTGATGAAAGAACTGAGGCTCAAAATGGGTTGAGATACTCAGTGTTAGGTGTTTGTGAGGGGCAGATAGATTCTTGTAAGAGATATAATGACTGATGTGATTTGGAGAGTGAGGAGCAGAGCTTTCAAGTTGGGATATCAGATTGCAATGGTAGTCAGTGAGGTATTTAGGAGGCCTAGAAGTTCTCTAAGTTTTTCGAACCATAGGAGAGTGAGAGGGAAGTGCCTCAGGGGAAACATCAGGCGCAGGCTGTGACTCATCCAGAGGAATAGGATGGGAAGATTGTGCCTCTGGTGAAAAAATATTGAGATTATCAGTAAGAGGAATGAGTGATTGGGAAGGACTGACAGTAGGCTGATGGGGAATAGGTGTAGGATTAAAATCATGAAGGGAAAACGAAGAAGGAGAAGGCAATACTAGATCTGGAAAAGGATCCAATAACTGGTCAGCCTTGGTGATAGTATGGAATGGGAAAATGTTTTCATGAAAAACAACATCCCTGGAAATGAAAATCTGTTTCGAAACAATGTCAAGTAACTTGTAGCCTTTTACCCCAGATGGATAACCTAAGAATACGCATAATTGTGCAGGAGGCTGAAATTTATCTCTGTGTTTGGCGAGAGTGGAAGCAAAAACTAGACAGCCAAAAACACGAAGAATAGAATAATCAGCTCTCTTGCTATATAACATCTCATAAGGTGTTTTATGTCGTAAAAGAGGTGAAGATGTCCTGTTAATGAGCTAAACTGCAGTTAAGATGCAGTCGGACCAATAATTCACAGAAATTCTGGATTGAAAAAATAAGGCTCGAGCAACATTTAAAATGTGTTGATGCTTGCGTTCAACAACAGAGTTTTGTTGTGAGGTTTGAACACAACTAAACTGATGCAAGATTCCTTGTTCAGCAAAAAAATCCTTGAATGCTAACTCATGTGCATTATCTGATCTGAAGCATTTGATCTTGGCATTAAATTGTGTATGAATCATGCTGAAAAAATGAGGTGCAGCTGTGATGGCATCTGATTTTCGTTTTAGTAAGTAGACCCACGTGAATCTGGTGCAGTCATCGACCAAGGTTAAGAAGTAGTTGTGCCCTGAATGAGAGGAAATGTGATAGGGCCCCCATATGTCACAATGTAAAAGATCAAAAGGTTTACTGGACAATTTGTTGTTAGAATCAAAAGACAGTCCCCTCTGTTTCGCAATGGGGCAAATATAACAAGGAAGATGTTTATTAAAATTTGAAATGTCACACCCTACTTGGTCTTTCAATACATCTAATCTTTTGAACGACAGATGACCAAGCCTATTGTGCCATACATGGGCAGAAATACTACCAACAAAAACTTTTGAATCTGAACTGAGATTTCTGGTATTAAGGACATATAACTCTTGAACCTTTTCACCCTTGCCAATCATCCTCTTGGTGACAGCTTCCTGAATCAGGAAATGATCATGAAAGAAGCTTAATGTGAGCTGGGATCTACTAGTCAATGCACTGACAGACAACAGATTAAAACTGAACTGTGGTACAAACAACACATCATGCAGCACTAGAGTGGAACTTAATCTGATATCACCACAGAAACTGACTGGTATTCGTGTGTGGTTTGGTAAAATGACACTTGCATTATCCACTGATCTCAATTTTATAAAAGCAGCAGCAACAGGGCATACATGCTTAGTTGCCCCTGAATCTACTATCCATAATTCCTTTTGTGCAAAAATAGGATTATCTGATATGGAGTGGCAAATACCTGATTTACCTGAAGGGTTATGCTTGTCTGGATTAGCAGTGATTTCACTGGAGCTTGAAGCCAAGTGGCTGGACAGCATGGTCATAAGTTGCTGATATTGATTGCTGTTTAGATTTTGCATAAAGTTATCCATGCCTGAATGGTGATCAAAATGATTAGAAGTCATCAGTTGGTTAACAGAGTTAGTAGCCTGTTGATGAGTATCCCTAAACTTCGGTTTATACCCAGGTGGAAAACCATGAATTCTATAACATTTATCGACTGAATGACCGTGAATTTTGCAATGAGTGCAATAGGCCCTTTCCTTTCTTCTGAAATTATTAAGGTTGCCAAACCTGGGGTTATCACTGCGAAATGAAGGATTTCTCATAGGCTTTGTATTATCAGATCTTAAGGCAAAGGCAGTTGCACCACTGGTAGATATTAGTATATGAACGTTACATATGAGCTCTAATAGATCCCAATCACACGAGTTAATTGTTTTAATGTACACTAAACATTAGGTAGCATCAAGTTTCATTTACCGAACTCCATCTTGCATTTCATCACTCACTGAACTTTACTTTAGGTAGCATCAAGTTTCATTTACCGAACTCCATCTTGCACTTCATCACTCACTGAACTTACTTTATGCTGTTGCACTCCATTGCTCGTCAAATTACCCCCTCACTAAGATCTGCACACGTGGAGGACGTGACGTGTCATTTTAAAAATACAAATTGTCACCACGTTGGAAATTGCTGAAAGAAAACGCCTGATCCATTAGTGGGAAGCAATGTTCTAAAAAGCGTAAAGCGTGGCTAGGCGTGGAGGCCAAGTTTCAAGCTTTACGAGCTTAGGCGGGCCTAGGCAAAGCTTAGGCGTAAAAAAGCGTTTTTTATTTCAAATTTTAATCATTGTAAAAAAATTCAACAATTCAAATAATACATACCAAACATCTAAAATTATAAAATACTGCATTTATTTAATAATTCCTTCATAAAGTAGTTTGAAATTTAGATGTTGTTGAGGAATCATCTTCTTCCATTGATTTCTAGCAAAAAAAAAAAGAAAAACAATGCAAATGTTTATTATTTACAAAATCCAGACCCAAAAAGCATATGAACGTGAAAACAAATGAAAATTTAGTTACATAAACAGTTAAACACTGATTGAGCCTCACGTCAAGGGCTAAAAGGTATTCTTGATTAAATTTCCAGATTTTACTACATGAGTTATTCCACAATCAGTTTGGAATCATTGCCATGCATCAGATTTATGAGGGCTACAAATTACAATTGACTTTCTCGAAGTGTGAAACTGATATGTCATATGTATATACAAAATAACATTTCACAACAAATGATTTTCGATTAATTACAGAAGCTCAGATTACAGTTTCAGACGACTTCTTAATTGCAGAAGCCCAGATTACGTTTGCCCGTTTTCACTATTGAATCATTGATAAATGCAAAACACTTCTATTTTGAGTTGTATAACTTCACTACTTGATAATAATCTTAATTGCTGTGGGTTATATTTAAAAAGGGGGGAAAAATTAGGCCTCCAAGGCAAAAGCGCGCTAGCCGCATAGGGCCCCTAGGCGCTCTTTGGCGTGCCTAGGCGCGCTTTAAGCGGTCAACATTGCCGTTGACCACTTAATTACGGCTTAGCCTCAAAGCGAGGCGTTTTCATCAAGCTTCGAGCTTAGGCGGCGCCTAGGCGAGCTTTTTAGAACAGAGGTGGGAAGAGAGCCCTAAAAACAGGTGATCACAGAGGCCACGCTCGCTTGGGAAGATAATTCGAACTGCAACATTAGAATCTTCTTCACCAAAATCATCCTCATTGGAGCAATCAAGATGGGTTGACTCACCATGAGTCAAGTCAAAAGACTCGGCACCACGTTCCACAAGGCTCCTCAACTCATCCTCCAAACGGAACATAAACTGTTGCAGCAAATCCTCTGCCTGATCGAGACAAGCAACGATATTCTTGTTGTCGGCTAACTGGTTCCAATCTCGAATGGTAGATATCAATTGGTCCACGGAATCAAGAAAAGACTATGATTCAGCAGGGTCCGACCAAATGGGTTGGTTAGAAGACACATAACGGAAGATCTGACGGTCAAAAGACTTGAGGGTATGTTCCAGTG